TTTCAAAACCAGAAAAATTGGTAAAGTAAAAATGTTTTCTGTTATCTAAATTTAGAAAACCGAAAAAGTGAACACATTTTTTGCTTTTCGACTTTTAACTTTTTCAATCAGTATATCTCCTAAACATTTTAAGAAGCATCACCAACTAAGTAGTTAATTCGCTACTCGGTAACAACTCGGTCAAGGACTGAGTAGTGAGTAGGACCAAGTACTCAAGATTACTATGTTAGGGATTGGGCCTAATGGACTGTTAGGAATTGGGCCTAATAAACCAAGAATAATAATAAGTGTAATAGTTAGTATAAATAGACTAAACTGGGGAGAAGTCGGGTAGGCTGTTTAGACGTTTAGTCTGGGACTTGGGAAGATCGAGAACTGTCTCTTTCTTTGGGGGCTTCGGCCATAGTTTCTTGTACTGTTCATCTTCCTTAATAAGAATTTCCAATTGTTTCTTGATAGTAATTTCCTGTAATTGCTGTATTTTCTGGAGGATCTTATCATTGGTATCAGAAGTAACACGCGCGAAGATGGAAAGTAGAATGACGGAAATAGAGAGGAGTCAGCGGGAGATGCAAGCAAGCATGGAGAGGAATTTGAGAGAGATGCAGGCAAATTTTACGACCGCCTTGACAACGATGCAAGCTAATATAGCTGAAATGCAGAACAGAAACGCGGATCGTTCACGGAGTCGTTCGCATCAGTCGAATACTTCGCGCCGATCATCACAGAGAAAACATACGAAGCATGATGATAGTTCGGAAGATTCAGAGACATATTCCGATCACTCTGCCTTGCATCAGGATCGCGATCATCATAATCGTCACAGAAATCCAAATAAAGCTGGACGGAAAATTGATTTACCAATTTTCAACGGAGAGGATGCTTTTGGTTGGTTGGTGAGGATGAATCGCTACTTCAGATTGAATCAGACTGATGAGAGAGACAAGGTTGACATGGCAGTTCTGGCAATGGAGGATCAGGCTCTGAGCTGGTTCCAATGGTGGGAAGGCCAGGCTCGCCATATGAACTGGGAGACATTTACGAAGGATTTGACTAAACGCTTTCAACCAGAACTGGTACAAGATCCATTAGGACCTTTGTTCAGTTTAAAGCAGCGAGGAACTATGAAGGAGTACAGGGACAAGTTTGAAACTGCCATAGCTTCACAGGGACATTTAACTGAGGAGGTTCTGAAAGGTGTTTTCCTTAAGGGATTGAGAAGGGATATCAGGGCGGAACTGAAGTTGTATACTACCAGAACCCTAGCTGAGGTTATGGATCAAGCTTCTCTTATTGAAAACAAAAATAATGAAGCTATGTTGATGAAGAGCAAAGAAGAAGGGAAGAAATGGCAGAGTAAGAGCCACAGTCAGAATCAGTCACCTATTTGGGGAGATGGTAGTAAATGGAAGAGTCACCCTGTTACCTCTGTTAATGTGGACAAAGCTGCTACTGACAGCAAGATCAATAATGAAGTGATAGATCAGAATATGAAAAGAAATGGTCCCAGGTTATCACAAGAAGAACTACTAGAAAGAAGTAAGAAAGGGTTATGTTTTAAATGTGGTGACAACTGGAAGCGGGGTCACATTTGTAGAATGAAAAATTTTAAAATAATGATGGTAGAACAATCTGAAGGGGAGGAGGAATCTGAAACTGACTTTAGTAAAGAACAAAAAGAAGAAGGAATTCTTATGGAAGCTAAGTCTATGCAATTATCTGTGTTGAACAAAGAAGGAACGCCACTCATGAGAACATTTAAAGTCCTGGGAAATCTGAAATGGCTGAATGAGGAAAAGAAGGTGAATATTTTAATTGATAGTGGTGCTACCCACAACTTTATTTCCCAGAAACTGGTAGAAAGATGGCAGATACCTTTCCAAAGTATCAAGGCATATATGGTACAAATAGGCAATGGAGAATTGATTCCTAACTGCGGTAGATGTGAAGGAATGAAGCTGAATGTACAGGGAAATGAAATTCAACAGAATTTTTATATGTTGGAGCTTGGTGGGACTGACATGGTGCTAGGATTGGAATGGTTGACTGATCTAGGTGTTATGGAAGTTAATTTCCAAAACCAGATCATAAAATGGAAGAAACAAGGGCTGAATCATGTTATTCAAGGTGATAGGTATTGGTTGTACTGTGAGGGACAAAGCACAAAGCAGAAGCAAGAACAGATAATTGAAGGCAGAAGGAACGAGCTTATAAAGGAGTACCCTGAAGTTTTCAAGTCAATTCTGGATAAAATTTCATGGCAGTTGTGTAATTCTGCTGTGAAATACATAGGAAATAAGATGGAATCAGCCAAGCTAAGGGTCCAGAAATCATGCCAGTATTGGAAAGGAAGAAGTACTAGGATGAAAGAAAAGATAAAGATTGGGGCTGTGTCCTATCACCCACCTTGAGGGCAAGGTGGATGTTTACGGGGGGAGTATTGTTAGGGATTGGGCCTAATGGACTGTTAGGAATTGGGCCTAACAAACCAAGAATAATAATAAGTGTAATAGTTAGTATAAATAGACTAAACTGGGGAGAAGTCGGGTAGGCTGTTTAGACGTTTAGTCTGGGACTTGGGAAGATCGAGAACTGTCTCTTTCTTTGGGGGCTTCGGCTCATTGGGGGCTTCGGCCATAGTTTCTTGTACTGTTCATCTTCCTTAATAAGAATTTCCAATTGTTTCTTGATAGTAATTTCCTGTAATTGCTGTATTTTCTGGAGGATCTTATCATACTAGGTCATTGCTCGGCTTTGTTAAAATTAAATTTGAAAATATACATGCCCTAAATTCTAGTACTCCCTCCGTCTCATTTTACATGTCTTACTTTCCTTTTCGGGTTGTCCCAAAATAAGTGTCACATTTCCCTTTTTAGAAAGAAATGTGTGGCACACAGCATTTCACTTTATTATACTCGAATTTCAACCACAACTTTTACCTTTTCAACCACTTTATTAATAATTGTGTCAAAGTCAAATGAGACACATAAAATGGGACGAAGGTAGTAATATATTAGCCTTATAATTTTTAGAAATACATAAAATAATGATGAAATAGCAAAAATCATAAACATTCTAGGTTTCCAAGAAAATCAATCATGTAACTTGTATGAGTCGATCTGTGAAATACTTTCAATTAAACTTGTATGTTACTTTTCCAATTTTTAAAATACCCAATCATTATTTATAAATTCCATAGTATTCAAGTGTAGATTAAACTTTTCAGATTTAATCCAAAAAACATTTAGTGGTTGCTGAGTAACTCGCCAAGTCAAAATTGTCACCGAGTTAAGAAACTCGCCGAGTACTCAGAGAGTAGCTAAGAAAAAACAGAACCGGCCGAGTCATAGTGCTAATCCGATCGGCGACCTCCCATTGCGAGTAGATAACACAGATCACCAATGCTTGAAATACTTGATGAATTGCATTACGTTGTTATCAAAATCACAGTTTCTTTTCTACAAGTCCTCACTTAGGAGCAAACTACATGTGGTCAATGAAATCAAGACGAAGAAGTCTATTAAATTCGAAAACACAAGCATCAACCGAGCTAGAAGCCTAGAAACCTTAGAATGCTTGAAGGACGCATTTTAGAATGAACATGTCTTAATTCCTAGGTGATAGACATGATCAAGATATGTATTCATGACATGCTGAACTTCAAACGTTCCCCCATTCATAAATAATGTCATTCCAGCAATATGGATACTTTCGGAGAGTGGCTTTGTGAGGGTAGGAGAAAGAAGGCTAAGTGCAAATCTTGACATATATATTTGATATTTTATAACAATTGAAAGATTAATACCATATGTGAATGTAACATTCCAATCACCTTTTATTAGTTTCTAGAAACATTCTAAAAAACAAAAGGAGATTGAAATATTACATTATCATATACTCCCTTCGTCCCATTTAAAGGTTCTCGTCCACTATTCTCCGGTCAACGTGCATTGTTCTTAATCTCTTATTTTATATATTCAACTTTTATCAAATCTAATTTTTTTGATCAGGTATTATAGAACATTTAATGTAGTTTCTTAATATGTAAATTTTATTTACTAAAAATAATTCTACTAATGACAGGGATCAATTAACTTTATGGTAAGTCAAACATCGTAAACCGTGTGGGAACCTTTAAATGGGACGGAGGGAGTACTTTGTATTTGGTTATTCCTCCAACTATTAATCATATCTCAAATATATATATATACACACACACACACACTCCGTCCCATAAAATTCTTCCCACTTGCCATTTTGGGACATCCCAAAAAATTCTTCACATTTCCCTTTTTGGAATGTTTTGTGTGGCTAACATTTAATTACATTTTTCTTACTCAACCAAAACCATATATTTCCACTTTATTCCCACTTTCTTAAGCTCTGATCCAAGTCAAACCGGCAACAATTTTATGGGACGGAGGAAGTATATATTGAGATATAACTATTCCCTCCATCACAAATGCTAAAGCTACCCCATTTTGTACCCCCTATGTTTGTGGTTCACAAAAGCAACACATTAAAATGGAGCAATTAATTTATTAGGTTGGGTTTTTGTGAGCCACTCAATGACTGAGGTACAAATGGGGTACCCCAAAATGGGGTACCTCTAGCATTTCTCTCCCTCCATATACTGCTCCATAGCCCACAACAAGTATGCTCTAAAGAGAATGGACATGCCTTCCGATTATGGCATATATCATAAAACTTCATGTGCCCTCTAATCACTTAAAGTATCATTTGTTTTAAGGAAACGGCTTTGAGTCTAGGAGGAATATAGAACCATAACAATCCTATAGGTATTAAAGAAAATAGTTTAATTTGAAGGCATTGCATGGAAAACACGGATATTCAAGAAACACAGTCTTTTCGCAGTCACATTGTCCAGCCAAGAGTGAATTATGTGTTTCACAAGGATGCACATGTGTCTAAACACTAAAGAATTAATATGAGAAGTAAACACAATAGTGGCAGCAGTTTTAATCAAGATAAAATGGTACCTTGCTGCCCACCATAGTGTGGAGCAGTGTCCCAAAATTCTTCACGCATTTTTAGAAGTTGATCCTTTGTTATTTCGGTCGAATGCTTCCACGGTTTTGGCTTCCGTATCTTGACAGCATCTGCACTTGTGTACAACAGTGAACATTTAAATAAGGTGAAATGTGCAGTGAAACATGATCTACAAAGTGTGGTGCACTTGCTTAGAGTGGTCGTGTACTCATGTTCCATCATGTGCATGCTAGTTTTACAATATCATTCTTTAGAAGAGAAATGGTCTTAGAACCTATCTCAATCATCAACATCCGTGCAAGGGGAAAGACAGATGACGATGATCGTTCTAGTATTTCACCTCATTATTAGTTCGCAAAACGCTTGTCTGCATTAATTTTTAGTGTTAACTAAGTTTACACGAGGAATTGACACATTAGTGTTATAATCTCACACAATCAAAACCAGTAAAAACTATTCAGTGTATATGTGAAAAAGTACATGTATTTGTACGATGTTATAATTACAGAATGGAATCTGATAAGGCCCCATTTTTCACACAGAGAGAGTACGTGTTACACAACAGGATCATTTTCATGAGACGCCAATGAACTGAAATAGTTGTTAGTTTCATTTAAGCATATCTCCCCTTCAAGACTAATCACACATGACCAGATCCAAACCACTCAGTATGGGAACAAATTGTTCATATTGACCACAAACTTTGTGCATACTGCAGCAGAATAGCCACTTTTAATGTTAACTTCTAATTTGTTTTTCTGCAGGGGCTTCCTTTTTGGTTTTATTTTAATCAGTATCTTTTTCATGCCAGTTTTTATAGAATCTTTCCTATGGTCTTTCTTTAATGTTTTTTTTACTATTGTTTCACTTCAACTTGACACTCTTTGTGTGAACGCGCTCTGTAACATTATCTTAAGGGAGATTGCAGCAAAATTCATATCAGCACTAAGTGAAAGAGTGAGGGGCTACCAACAGTGAATTGAGATTTTGAGAAATTATACGCAATGTGCTTCTAACGCATGTGAACAACATTCAGAAATAATAGCCAGTCATTCTCATTAGTCAGACCCAAGATCGTGCAATGTTTCATCCGGTAAACAAGCAAGAAAGAAATCCCCTTTCCCTTGCCACATCGAAGATTATCACTAAAGCGAAGCCATGAAAATATTTATGATCTGACAATTGCAATTTCAATACCCAAAAGCCCAGCATTCTGTAAGTGAAACTCTACCACCACCATATAACAATTCAAAAAAACTTAGGGCTTCTCCAACCCAACGCCACATGGTGCCAGGGTGCCAATATACCATGATACCAAATTTGGTTTCATGAACCGCGGGATACTGTATACTATACCAAATTTTGTGTAATGAATTCTTTTATAGAAATGCTAATTTAAGTTTTCTAAGGTACTTTTGAAACTTAGCTCTTTGAGTTCGAAAATAGTTAGTTAGTTTCTTTATTATAGCTTCTATGAGTTTGAAAAATTGCAGCTTATTATTAGAGTTATTATTCCAATTTTTTGGGTGAACCTTTTAATGAAATATGAATATAACAAGTTAACAGCTTTATCCATTTTATTACCGCCTCATTATATTTTTCATGTAAGTGGAAGTAACATATAATGGTTAAGGTTATTACTTATTAGATTCCATCTTGCTTTCCTTCTTACGAAAGCTGCAAGATGAAGGATGCAGGTCATAAAACTATGAAAGTATGCTTTCTTATTGTTTTACTATAGTAAGTCACATTTTAAATTATATTCCACCAACCTGAATCACTTCTGATAAAGGTGTTGATGATGAAGCCATGAAGGTGAATAGGCAGAGAACTAAATCAATTACTTTAAAAATATGTAAAAAGGATTATATGTATGTTAAAAGAACAGGGAAACAGATAGTATTAGGGAACAATCCATTAATGTGATTGGTTGGAGATTAAAAAATAACTTGCGTTAGATTCTTAGAGTTACACGACTTTGTTGATTAAGCTACCCACCTCTGATGTTTTGGATTGGAAATAGCCTGAGGTGAACTTCATAACACCCTCTGGTTAGCATAACCATAACAAACTCATCCAGGTATCCAATCGGCCAATCCAACATACCAACAAACAACAGTGGCATTATGTGTTCTAATACTACTAAAGGATTCCACCATGCAAGGAAATAACCACTTGTAATTACCTAACTTATATCTAATTCTGCAAGAAGCCACGAACCCACTACTAAATCAACTAACCTTCAGTGGAAATCAAGATATCAAATTCCCAAAAGGATACTAAGCTCAGAACACCTGAGAAAAAGTGTGATAATGTATCTCTATCTCATTTTATCTTGTTTAGTATTCACCCATCACTGATGGGTGGTGGAGCCAGGGTTATATGGTTCAGGGGCAGGGAATAAAGAATTCACGGACTACTTACGTGAAGTTTATAATGTATATGACGTATTTAAACTACCATTTATCTAAGTGAATTAGGACGATTCACCTTTTTTATTCTGTATTGAATTAAGTTTCGACCGCAGAGTCATTTTTCTGGCTCCGCCACTACATGAGATCACCTCTATTTTTCCATGATTTGTTTTTCAACTAAATTAATAGCCTCTCAACAACAACATTATCCCACTGACACAAAAGCTCTCACCTGATGATAGAGTATATGGGCCTGGACCCAATGGCTCACATACTCAAGTCAACGATGACCGGAAAAACCTCCACGTGGCCCCATCGGCCCAGTGGGACCCGCATCGGCCATGAACCAAACCGGCCCAGAACATGAATCTGGACTCCCGGGACCGCATCGGCCCATGGACCGCATCGGCCAAAGTGCACCGCATCGGCCAGACTTCGTCCTGGCAGAATACATCTCTCTACTTTATTTACTAAGTATTGTACCCAGCCCATTAGTGGCCCTATCGCCCAAGGAAGACATGATTATTGTAATGGACCTCCTAAGCCCATGGCTAGGAGCCCAAATCCACATTTTTACCTATAAATAGACCTAAATAGACCCCTTGGGGCTAGTTATAGGGGGTTGAGAAATATAATTACTTACTTTCTCTCTCTAGCTCTCACTTCTCTCTAGAACTAATACTCTATCACCTGATGTACGCAATCTTACCACGATAAAAATCTATGCTCCCGCATTCTAGATTACTTGCTTCACTTTCCTCCTCACTTTACTGTTAGAGTTGTTCCATATTCTTATATGTGATTCCTTTTTTGGAAATTAGAGTAGATGATAAGATAAAAAGGATCAAGAAGATAAATACAGGATTAAAAAACGATACAAGAGATTAACAACTTTACAAGTCTGTTAAACATATCAACTTCATTTACTAATTTAAAATTAAACAGTACAAAAAAAGCAAAATAATGAACAACCGACGGAAACACTTGTTTCATACTTGCAATGAGATGGCATAAGTGGATACAAAGATGGATCTTTAAGGGCAAAGAAACGCATGACTAAACAGATATAATTGGAAATAACAGCGCGATGGCATCAATCCAAGAAGAAGAACGAAGCTAGAAGAGTACCATCTCCTTCCAACGGCAATGATCCAGCGCAGCCCATGGTATTGACTCACAGGAAATCTTGGCTATCTATCTAGCTGAGTCAGGAATATATACACATGTGTATGAGTATACATCAAAATAGAGACAGTATAGGAAATGAATTCCTTGGCAGTTCTTATAAATTTTGCGTTCTCGCGACTCTACCTCATTCCAGCTATATGATACGGAGTACAATTTATATGCTACTTCTTTCGATATAAATATGTCACTTTTGGTAGTTACCGAAGACGTTCGGTGAAATAGTGTTTTTTTCTGGATAGAAAGAGAGATCGGGAGGTAACGGATAAGAAGAAGAGTCTACAGCGATTCAACTCTGATTCTGTGTGAAGGGTAGAATGGGATGGATACTATTTTGACATGATTTGAGAAAAAATACTCTCGAAGCATTCGGGTAGAACTTTGGAATCATTTAAAAAAGTGCTTTTATAGCAAAAGGAGTTGCAAAAACTTCCTAACAGGAGCGAATTGTTATGATTGGATTCATTTAGATTCCAACATTTATTAGTTACTCCCTCCGTAACATTCATATCTTCTCACTTTCCTTTTTTGGACGTAACATTTATATCTTTCCATTTCTAAATCTTCCTATCATACCCTCAATAATTTAAAAAATAATACACTACTACACCTACTTTTTTTTGGATTTATTTCAACATCTTCCCATCATACCCTTAATATTATAGGTCATAACCCGTGGTTACACTCTTTGAAAATATACTTACTTTATACATAGAGTCAAGTAGTCGGCCCGAAGGCCCATGTTTACTTTGAAAATGTTCAACCCTTTCCCCGTGACTTCAAGCCACGCCCATCTATATTAGTTTATCATGCTAGAGGCTTCCTCTAGTCATATTTTGTCGTGCTAGAGGCTTACTCTAGTCACTTCACTTGGTGTTAGAGGCTCCTCTAATCACCTTACATACGTTGTGCTAGAGGCTTCCTCTAGTCACATTACGTTATGCTAGAGTCTTTCTCTAGTCATCCTACATTACGCTAGAGGCTTCCTCTAGTCGTCCTACATGAATGCTAGAGGCTTCCTCTAGTCATTCTTCATCGTGCTAGAGGCTTCCTCTAGTCAAGATACTAGTTCACTAAGCAAATTCTATGCCTAGAGTTCCTCTACTATGAGTAGCCTTTGAGGTCTACTCCTAATGTAACTTAGCGTTTACCCATTTCTACCTTAAGACATCTCATAAGACTACTTAAGGTACCTCTTTCACAATCCAAGCCCTTAGGATTTGTTCTATCACTTTTCATACTAACATTTCCGACTAGTAAATTCAATACTACTAGTCCATTAATCTTTAAGCAACCAAGCTCTTTAATTCATAGTTATAAGGTTCATTCTTATGAATTTCCCAATCCGTATATGATTTAATCTCAATATCAAAATATCACTTTTATCAGTTCATGATTTCTATACATGAAGTAAAAGTATATTTCATCACAGAAATTCATGGTTTATACAATCATCATGCCATCATACTTATAATGCATAACTATACACCATTTACTCATAAATTTGTATATTATGCATCTTCTATTCATAAACAATAATATTTTCATTTAGGCATTATTAATCATTAATAATCCATGAAAATCACATTTAATTACCTTAGGTAATCTTATGAAATTAACCCAAGGATTATAAGCAATATAGTCAGCCATCCTCACCTTATGAAGTACTGAAATAGTTGCCTTTGTTAAGCCCCCCGATCAATCCCCGTTCTAAACCGATCGAAAGTGCAAATTCTGGACAGCAGCCAATAGCCGGGCGGCTTTCACCAAAGTTGGGCGGCTTTCGTGGTCTGCAACTATGAACAGCCTCCTATACTTGGTGGTTTCCGGCGGTTTCAGCTCCTATCGATTTCATGACTCTTCTAAGTTAAATACTACCACTTTATAACAATATTCTACACTTTTAAACGTGTAGAACTTCACATTTAATCCACCACATGATTTCTTAAAAATCATACACAATGAAACTAGTTAAGAGATTGTTTGTTGAGTTCTTACCTCAAACACAACCTTTTTCTTCTTGGATTTCTTTTGTTGATGCTCCACGTTCAGACCTTGTGAGAGCTTCTTCCTTGAGCTCCTCTCTCCCTTGACTTGTGCGTATGGTTCAAAATGAAGGGGGGAGGTATCTATCCTATCACTCAAGACCAAAAATAATGCAAGAGTATGGCCAAGGGAGTGGTTGATTGTCTTGAGCCCTCCTATCATCCAATAGTCCGCACAAGCCATGTTTAGTTGTCTCCTTCTCACTATTTGGAGTGTACAACACATGTAGGAAAATCCCCAAGTGGGTGTAGGAAGTTCCTCCCAATTATTTTTGCTATTTCTGGCGGGTTGGGTCAAAATAGCACTCGGGTTGTCCAAATATTTTTATCAACTTTAGTTGGCACTTTATTTGGGTTTCTATAATCATCACGATGACCCAACTAAATATTTGGTAGCCCATTCTCATATACTGGACCCGATAAATAATTTAATAAATCGCGCATTAATTAATATACCAATTCTGTCACACGAATTTTATTCGCTAGGAAATTCAAATACATATCAAGTTTCAAATTCAAGTACATCCGGGTGCGGTGTCACACAAGAACCGAACTGTGAAGAATGGTTCGGTTTCATATCAGTTCTATAAAAAAAATATAAGAACCAAACTGTCATTAAGGTTTGATATTTTTCAAACGGTTCCATCCATTTTACCTAGTGACTGAACCGATCCCCTAGGCCTATTGATGTCCATACTAGTGGTATATAGAGAGTCTAATGCAGCTAGTCCAATTCGAGTTCGAGTTAGTGTTCAAGTTCGATTTAGCTCAAGTCAGGCAAAGATTGAGTATTTGAGTCTGAGTTGGATTCCAATTGAGTTCCGGTCATGTCGAGAAATGTATGATTAGGTTCGAGTTGGGTTTAAGTTTGAATTGTATTTGAGGTTTATCTTCTAAAATAATACGTAGTATATTACTCTGTTCAGAGATAGAGTTTGATTTGTTATATGTTTAAGCATATGTGTGCAATAATAAATTGTTTTTTAAACATAAAAACGTTATTTTAAAAATTCAGTGTGTAGTTGTCTTTTAGATATTTGGACTCTCTTTGTATTCCATGATTTATTTTAACTTGATAAGCTAAGTTCAATTAATTCTACTTAAAGCTGCTTGAATGTTACCTAAATGCCTATAAATCATACAAGACTTCTAGAAGATAGTCTTAATCGTCAAGTAACACGGAGTATGTGAATCTCTAGTGTATTTTTAGCAGAACATAAGTGTAATATTCATGCATGGATCCATAGTATGAATATATGATGGTATGTATGTAGTTCGGGAGTTTGTATGTAGTTTGATCTTGACTTGGTTTGATTCGAATCGAGTTCGGCGTGAGTCAAGTTTGAATCGGGTTAGGTTCGAATAAGAATTGATGATCTCGAGTAGCTTGCAAATTGGCTTATTTGATTGGCACTCCTGGTGGTGTATATAATTATAAAACGTCAATTTATCAATAAATTTCTAAAATTTCATAAATCACTCTGGTGTGGCCTTTCTCAAGATCCTTTCCTTTTGTCTTCTCCTCAAGCAGTCAACCTTTTCTAAGCATAAGGGAAGGAAAGGATGATACATCTCTCAATGGCCTCCAACATCAATTAGACGGTTAATTATGGAGATGTAAATTTAGATTGAATCACAAAATGGCAGACAACGAGTGGGGTTGTGATCCAACTACTTGTATACACCCCGTATGCATTTGTACATAATAACCTTTCATCGCAGTTGTCAAAATTCAAACTCAAGACTAACTCATTGTGATACACTGGTACTTCATATCTATTAGTTGAACCATGCCCACGAATCCGAGACTCACCCTAGACTTCTCTTCAAATTTTATTTAAACAATAATACAAGACAATGAGATGGACTACTATTTTCAATTTCTATTTCTAAAATATAGAACTTGATCAAATAAAATAATAACCATATGAAACCGAAAGAAGCAAACTAAATTGAATCTAATAATTTTCAGCTTGGTGAATTGAACTTAAAACCAAACCGAACCATAATACCAATGGTTTTAGACTTTTAGTTTGATACATTATCTGTCAAACCGAAAATACTGAATTGCAACGATTAAAAACCGAAAACTCTTGTCCGTCTAAGCTTAAAAAATGGTTTATACACTTGTATGAGTGGTGTTTTCTTCCCTAGGATTTATAGGGTTCTTCTTATTCTGTCAATTTTGACAGTGGTGTTACGAATGATTTCTTCTCAAAATAATGAAGATGAAGTTTTGTTGGGGGAGGCTACGACGTCAAGGGCTGTGAATGCGACCCAAGCGATGGAGGATGAAGATGAAGTGATGATGATCCTGCCCCCTCTGGAACCGCCGTCATGGAGGATTTGTGAGACTAGGGTTCCCGTCGTTACCATGAGTCATCTGATCCATCAATTTTTCTTTTTTAATTTCGTTTTATTCAGGATTAATTTTTTTTATTCGAAATCAGTTTAGTTTTTTGATGAGAAACTCTGTTCTTACCGTTTTGTTTTTTGTTAAAGTTCATGGTACTAGGTTTATTACAATGATTGAGGTTTCGGCTAGATTTGATATTGTTAGTGGGGGACGAATCTATTTGTTCAGCAATAGCTGCATTAAGACTGTCTGGTTGTTAGCAATTTGTATTGCTCCTTTAAGTAGCAATACAAATCGAATCTATTTGTTCAGCAATAGTAGCATGTGTGTCTAATCGTAGGGCTATAAGTAGTAGTTGGAAGATGAAAGTTGTAGTCAGTGTTGGTCATTTTGATATTAATGTAACGATCCATATAGGCGATTTCCTCTCCAAAAGAATGAATCCAATTTTCATTATAAAAAAATGAAATTGAATTTTTAGGACCATTCTTGCTGTACACAAAATGTACACAAAATGTGTACATTGTCTGTGTACACAGGCAATTTGACGGGTTTCGATATAAGTTCTGCTCCTTTTTGAACGAATTGCTTGTATACACAAGCAAAAGTAGGAGGATTTTGTGTATACTTTGCTTAATACATTAAAAATTTTCCTTTTTTGTGAGGCAAAGAGACCTTTTTGCAAGTTCAGGATTGAATCCAGCACCATCGCCTTGATAACTGTAGCAGGCAAGCAGCCCCGTCTGTCGTCTGTAGCAGTTGCGCAGAAGTTCTCTTACTCACCCACCCACCAACCCACCGCTCTCTCCAAGGTATAGGGCTGAGTCTCTTACTCTACCGGGGAAACAATGAATGCCTTCAGACTCGCCGGAGACCTGACACATTTGATCAGCATTCTCATCCTCCTACTCAAAATTTACGCCACAAAATCCTGCTCAGGTTTCATTTCCACCACATTCATTATTTTTCAATTATTGTTTAGATATACAGGCACTGTCTTCCATTTCGATTGCTAGAATTTGAAACGCAGAATTTTAGTTTTTTTTCTCTTCTTTATTCTGTTTGTTTAATGGTGGCAACGTAAAATATTCCCGGCTCAGATTGTATAGCTAGCAACAAAATTTCTGATCAGCTGATGCATGCGGTGTGTTCATTTTAAATTGATCTTCATATGGTTCATTTTAATGATAGGTAGAGTAGTAGTAGGCCACACGTGTTTGAAAGTTTATGTTCTGTATGCTATGTGGAGATTAGTGATCAACTGCACATGCTATGTTGGCAAATGCTTGTAAATGGAAGTATCGATAAAGTTGATATCTTGCTTTCAGTTAGGTTACATTGAGGGGGATCCTAGTACTCCAGAATTATACTCCGTAATTGATAAATGAGTAATGAGCATTTAAGTATGTGATTGCTTACTTGTGTCAATATCTCTCGGTGATCGCAGTATGCTGCTCCTGAAAAAGTCTCCGCATAACACTAAATTTTAGTGGGGTTTTATCATGATTCATCTTTTCAGTTGATTCACGGATTTAAAGTAGTGTGTGTTGAGTGTGCTTATAGTCTTAAACACTTCAAGCAAACATTTCTTAGAATAGTTGAGAAATCTTCTTGAGCGATTCACCATTGTTTGAAAATCAAAATTGCATAGTTGAGGCAATTTTTTGTGATTACATATTGTGTATGCCTCATCGCACAATGAGGTCTAAGACTTATATATATAGTCTGTAACAGCAGATTCTCTTCTCCGTTCTGAACATCTGGGCATTCTATAAGCGTTCCAATGGACAACCAGAGCAGGCTACAAAATTTCATCTGCGATACAGATTCCTAAGCTGCATTTTCTCTCCTTATCCTTTTGCAACCTACAAACCAATTAGGTAGCCATTCTGTACTCATGGACAGATATGTCACTTTTCGAGAACTATTCTTAACTTCATCAAAGAATAAGGGTGCTTTATATCTTGATTCAATTCATGTATCTTATATAAATTTTTCCTTGGGGTAAGGTTTTTGTCCCCCAAAACTCTTGTAATCCATTCCACTATATAATACCCGTAGTAATAATTGGTAATTTCCCCTGCATTTTGGTGATTTGGTTTCCGGAGAAAAAATATAAGTAATACACACACGAATGTTTGGGTGTACGTACAAATTTAAATAGGTATAGTGAAATTACTGCCATATATTCGTGTAAATAAAACACATAAGCTTGAGTAGCTAGTACTCGCTGAGTACTCTGAGATTACTCGCCAGTTTAGACTTAAACCCTGCTAAAAACTTGCGTAGGACTACCCATTGCGGGAAATAAGCAATGAGTCCAATGACTTCCATCGTATCTGACTCAAATATAACTGAGGTGCGCTTCATAGTGAAAGTGCATGGCGTATCTGCACTTTAAAAAACTGTTTCGGATCTGCACTTTTTCAGGACCATCTTTTTGTGAATATTTTTCTGCTACACAACTAGAGTTTCATTTGGCTACTTGCTTGCTTTCTAGAAGACTGGAGACCTTATAGTTTTATACGGAGTACTTTTTAATAAATTTTCTTAGTGTAATCTTTTTCATTTTCAGGAATTTCTCTAAAGACCCAAGAGTTGTTCACGATCGTGTTTTTGGCCAGATATCTGGATCTGCTCACTGATTTTATATCAGTGTATAATACCATTATGAAGATAGTGTTTATTGCAAGTTCTGTAGCAATTGTATGGTGCATGAGGTTTCACCGAGTTGTAAGGCGATCATATGACCGCGAGCTAGACACTTTTCGTCACTGGATTCTTGTTGCTGTGAGCTTTGTTTTGGCTCTGTTGGTTCATGAGAAGTTCACTTTTCTGGAGGTCAGTATCATTAGTTCTACTTAACTTCTGCCATTTCTTTTATGGATGTTACTGATATTGTTATTAGTTTGGTAACTTTGGTTAAATAGGTTATGTGCATCTCTTATTTTTTGATGTCATGTGTGTGGAAGATGAAAGGCCAAAACACCATTTCATACAAAATATGTGTCATGATCACGTTCACTGGCTAGTACTTGAATTGAGAGGGTGTAATCGTTTTGGGTATGTTTTGAAAGTTGGTTATTGGAGGAGAATGAGGTGAGGGTTATTTTCCATTTTAACCAAAAACAATTATATGATACATAATGACACAGACATATTGCTTATGTTAGTTTATCATTTATTTTTTCCTAAAAATTTATCTAGTAAGAGAAACATCTTTTAAGGCTTAGATGTTAGCCGGCCCTAACTCCTTTGGGAGTAAAGCTTGGAGATTGTTGTTGTTATTGTAAAGAAATACCTTTTAAAATGAATTTAAACCCTCCAAAATGGCAAAAGGCAAATAGATTTAAATATGCTTCTTCTTTGGATTTTTAGGTGAATTGGGATTGCATACCATTTCCAATTACGGTAATTTTAAATAACTAGGGTACCTCGAGATAGAGTACTTCGAGAAGTCTTTTGGTGGATTTTAGCAAAAAACGGCATATTACATAAGTATATCAGCATCATTAAAAGATATGTTTGGGGATTGCAGAGTTCTTTGTTAAGATCCGAAAAAATATATTGTGGGACATGATGTTTGCCGATGATATCATATTGGTTGATGAGACACAATCGAGCGTTAAAGCAAATTTAGAACTTAGAAGTATGACGACAAACATTGGAGAACAAGATTTTCAAAGTGAATCGAAGCAAGATTGAGTATATGGAGTGCAAGTTTGGTGGAGGTAGAAGTGGTGATAACAGTGGGATTACCCTACATGGTAAGATGATACTTCCTCCGTTCTTTTTTAGTTGCAACGGTCAACATTTCACACTTGCCAATGCACATCTTTGACCGTAATTATATCTTAATCTCTATTAGTTAAAAATAATTAAAAATCAGATTTTGAAAATTTGTAATGAGATGAATTGAACAATATCTTTTTAAAAAAATAATTTTCGTAAAATAATACCGTAAAATGTAGTCAAAGTAGAACACGTGAATAGTGTAAAATTCAACATGTTGCGATTAAAAAGAAACGGAGGATAGTACTAGTTAGTGATATGCTCCGTTACTTGGGCTCCACAATTTATTGAATTTAAAAGGACGGTGAACTAGATGCAGATGTATCCTATAGAATCAGAACATGGTGAGAGTGCGCCTGAGTGCGCCTGGGTTACTATGTGAGAGGTATCCCAACTAGACTGAAGGGCAAATGTTATCGGACAACAATTAGGTGTAGATTACTGAATGTCATAGAGTGTTAGACAGTGAAACAATGTCACATTCTAAATATCAGTGCGACAAAGATGTGAATGTTTCGTTGGATGTAGACACTAGAAAAGACCTCTTGAAGAATGAGATAATCAAACAAAAGTAGGAGTATCACTTATCAAAGATATCGAGAGGTGGTGATTAGAGGCGGGGGAGAGGGAGAAGAACAGCCAAACAGACGTGAATTAGAAGAGTCGGGAGTGATATGCTTCTTTTTGGGTTGGATGAGAGTATGACTTTGGAGAGAGCAAATGGAGGGTGAATATTCGTGTGGAGGATTGTTCTCTTTTTATCCTTTTATCTTTCTTATGTTCTTTATCCTTTTATCTTTTTTATGTTATAGATTTTTTTTTTAATCTTTATCTTATATTTATCTTTTATCTTTATCTTATCTTATCTTTCTAGTCTTTCTTTTCTTTTTGGTTCTGATATTATGTATCGATTAATGTTATCCAACCTCAAATCTTTTGGGACTAAAACTTGAATGTTGTTGTTCATTCATGTCAAATATTCACAGTAGAGTGCATATCCTAACAGCTATTCTAAACTCACAAATTCCATACTAAACTCTCAAACGCAACATATGGTACTGAACCATTTCTGTGTGTTGCTTTTGTAGGTATTTTGGGGGTTTTCGATCTACTTGGAAGCAGTTGCTATCCTTCCACAATTGGTTCTGTTGCAGAGAAGTGGAAATGTGGACAATCTAACTGGACAATATGTTGCCTTTCTCGGGTACTCCTTTTTTTTGCTCAGTTGTGGCTTTTGTGACTTTGCGATTTGTCTTTTATCTTTGACAAAACATATACCCCATTGATATAAAAAAAGTCTTGTTTGGACTTGTGTTTTTAAACTAACATAATCATACTTAACTTGTTTGTGACGTTTCTATAAAAAAATTACATTTAAGCTCAGGGTACATCAAGTTCAATAGAAATTAGTTTCTTTCGCTGAAATAGGTGCTGCATATGACTTTTTCCTGGAAAATAAGTTTTGAAACATGTTTTTTCTCTATATCTTTTTGGTGCAGAGTGTACTTCAACTCCTTTTACTGTGGAAACACAAGAAATGTGTTAGTATTATTTTTTAATACTATTTATTATTGTAGGGCTTATCGAGGATTCTACATCTTGAACTGGATTTACCGCTATTTCACCGAAGCATCTTTCAGCAGATGGATATGTAAGCATATTTCAGACAAATAGTAGGATGTGTAAATTTATACCAAAGATATGTGTATTTTGCTAATTATTTCCCTTTTCCTCTCCCAAGCTTGCATTTCTGGACTTGTCCAGACTGCTCTCTATGCAGATTTTTTCTACTATTACTTTATAAGGTATATATTGTAGTACCAAACATTTATTTGCCATATTTTTCTTCTAAACGTTTCTATATCCAACTAAGCCTTGATTGTTTTATGCAGTTGGAAAAATAATGTGAAGCTCCAGTTGCCTGCTTGAGAAAAGTATGCATAGCGATAATTTGACACTTTTTGTGCTGGATCCCCTCAGTGAAAAATAATTAAGAGAGAAATCTGGATTTTGTATGAGAATATGGGTGTTCATATGATGGGAACTTGTAACAATGTCTAAGCATTTTACAGGTGCAAAATATTTAGCACATTCTAAATTCTAACACCGATAGAAGTGCACCTTCAGTTGTACCTTTTCACACCATAGGAAGTAGGACAGCGAAGACAGCAGAGAAATCCTTTTTAGGTCCACAGAAAGAATTGCTTAAAAAGGTATCATAGAGCTCAATCCGTGATATATATTTAGATTTTAATTCTAATATATTGGTTTTGAATTGAATAAATCCATACCACACTTGCTGGTGTGTCAATAGTAATTCTTGAAATTGTGCCTCACTATGATACCTGAAATACCTTTATACGGAGTACTATTTACCACCCATGTTAACTTCTTGCACATTCTTGAAAGAATGTGAATATGTGATACCACCCAAATTAACATTATGCATGCTTTTGAAAGTGTGTGATATCCCACACACTTTCAAAGTGTAAGGTTTTGTATAATTATTTGCACCACGGTGGTATCTAATCTAATGAAATAATTCCCATATTTGCCACATCACAAGTGTTTAATGAATTTTAAAGGGGATAAGGGTCAGTTTGGTTCTCGAAGTTGCAAAAAAGGAGTCAAATAAGTCCTTATATAGAAGATTCTGTCCGGAAGTGTCATTTGAGGTGGCTCCCGGTGGAATTTTTTGATGAATTTTTTTGAGCATCTTATTCATTAAGTCTAGTTTACTCATATCAAATTTCAGATAAAAATTCAATCGGGAAGACATTGAAATGAATTCTTGAAGATAATTGTGCCGTTAAAAGCGTAGTTATCTTCAAGAATTCATTTGAATGTCTTCCCGATTGAATGTTTAGCTGAAATTTGGTATGAGTAAACTAGACTTAATGAATAAGATGCTCAAAAAAAATTATCAAAAAATTCCACCGGGAGCCACCTCAAATGGCACGTCCGGACATAATCTTCTATACAAGAACTTATTTGACACCTTTTTTACAAGTTCGAGTACCAAACTGACCCTTTACTCAATTTTAAAGTATAACTTTTTCCCGATTGCGGATGGGCCTAGGGTTCGGCGATCAACTTCGAACAGTTTTTGCGTAGATTTAGAAAGCGTGGCGCTCGATCGATATTTGGAATTTTGTTCGGCGGGCGTGGGAAGTACTTTCAATGTACGGGAGAAGGGCTTGGGCTGAGAAGGGGATCGGCTCGTGACTTGGCAGGACTGCGAATAGTCATGGATCCGGGCCCGGTCGGGCCTCAGTTTTTTTGAAGGAGGCCCGGGACCGGCCTGTGCTATTGCTGGTGCCAGTTCGGGCCGGGTCACCCGCCCGGGTGACGGGTCGGGCCACCTGCCGGGCCGGGTCAGTTTTTTATATACTTTATAGTTTATACAAATGCTTATTAAAAACAAAGTTCAAGTGCATTTATTTAAAATAGGAACTACATTTGAGAATTAAGAAAAAAATTACAATATGAAATACATTTTCTAATAAATATCAATCGGAATTTCCGCCACCGTTGGTTGTTTTGCCTTTGTCATAGGACTTAATATGTCTTCTGGGCATCCTGTATCCGTGTGAACGCCCCAAGCTACACTCTTTCTTGCACCACCTGCAAGTTGTCCACCACATCCCGGTCTTCGGGTCCTTCCACATATCAAAATTGTTTTGCATAAGGGGAGATTTACTTTCCATCTTTAAAATGGAGAAGAGTTGAAGAAGAGGAGTAGATGTATAAGTAGGAGAATAAGAGAAGATGAAGATGGAAAAGAGTTGAAGAAGAGGTGTAGGAAAATGTTAGAAAATAGGTGTATTTAACCCTCCCACCCCGCCCCACCCCCATCCCGCCCCACCCCCACCCCGGGGCCCCATGTGCTGGCACCCAAGTGACCCAACGGCTATATAGCCGTGCCCGTTTGGGACTTGGGACTTGGGAGCTGTTAGTTTAAAAAAAATTAATTTGAGAAAATTAGATATTGTCAAATTAATTAATTACTGTAATTAATTAAGTAAAGCTATTTGTACTTAGAAAATAGGTGTGAATGTGTGATTTATAATTTATAAGCATCACATATGACATACCTGAGTGAGCCGAATAACTGTCATGAGAATCAAAATATTCTTGTACAGATCAGAAGAATATTCAGATGTCATAATTATCAATTATTTCTTATTCGGAGATATATTATTAATAAATTCATCTAAGCCTTGTACTCAAGAAACTGGACCTAGAAAGAGGAATACTAACGGTAAGGAATACGGACATAAAGTCCATACCCACATTACCCAGAAAGGATATGGAAACGTAATCGCCGGAGCTACACGTACCAATCCCTAACAGAAGCTAGCTGAACAGAAAGGACGAGATCACCGAAGAGACTCGAAACTTAATAGAAGAGTAATAGTGTTCTAAAAAGATTTCAGGAGTGTACATAGTACACTAAACAGGAGAACACTAATTCCTCTAAGACAGAATTTCGTGAGTGTACATAGTACACTAAACAAACAGATCAGGAGTATTCACGTCAGAGTGCCGGATCAAGAGTAAGGCTTTATTTTCATAATAAATACATATCGTCCATTAATTAGAAATAAGTATCAAGGATATAAATAATTTATAAATATAAGATTTTAACAATCAAACAGTAACTTATTAAAATTTATACCGTAACTAGTAATTTGAATAGACATACATAAATCGTACGTACTTCATTTTAGTACTTACACGTGCCTTAACTTTTAATTATTTTAATAACCAATTATATAAATAATGTAGTTATTTTAATTAAATACATAAAACCAATCATACATATCGTATATAAAATCTTTATTATTGGATGCAGCAGCCTTCAACTTAAATACGAATATAAATTATTAATAATCTATAAATGTTTATGTAACTAAGATGACATGTGTATGTAAGTAATTATCTAGATTGCCACATGTTAATTTATAATGTCACCACCTACTTTTCAACTATGTATACGTATATGGCTAGGAATGCATGTCTCCAATGGAACTTATTTTTAATAAAATATGTACTCCGTAAGAGTTAAATAAACATCTCCATCTTACACTACTTCAGATCATATCACCACTAAACTTATGTAATCAATTCAAAAACTACCCACATATTTTAAGCCATAATTATAAAACCCACATATTAATTAATACGTATAGTACATACGGGGAATGCATGTGAATGTAAACAGTACACGTGCTATTTTATTATATTACACACGTATATATACTATAATACAATATAGCTAGGCCGGCTACTATTACTCCTAATAAATTCCATGAGCAATAAATAAATTTTATAAATAGATTAGTTACACTAATTTTTAGGCTACACCTATAAACTGGTTATTGAAGCACCACGTAAATATATACGGACTACTTATTATGAAATATAAATCTAAGGTAATATACATGCATATTTACGTCACTTTATGTGTGTGTGTATATATATATATATATATATATATATATATATAGGGGTGAGATCACATACTAACCATTCCTCCCATGCTAACCTACAAACTATCAAAAACGGTGCATCTTTACATTATTTGTACTGCATATTGAAGTTCAAAGTGTTGCATATTACTTGTACTGCATATTAAAGTTCAAAGTTTTGCATATTGTTTTTATTGCACATTGAAATTCACAGTGTGCATCTTTACATTATTTGTACTGCATATTGAAGTTCAATGTGTTGCATATTATTGAGTTAGTAAGTTAGTATTTTAAGCATGGTTAGTATGTGATCTCTTATATATATATATATATATATATATATAGAGAGAGAGAGAGAGAGAGAGAGCTCTTCTCATCAGGCCGGCCTGACGGGCTGGCCCGTCCGGCCGAGCCCATTTGGGCACCTTCCCGGTGGAATTTTTTGATGAAATTTTTTGAGCATGTTCCTCATCAAGTCTAGTTTGTCCATACCAAATTTCAGCTCAAAATTCGATCGGGAAGGTCGTCAAATGATTTTTGCAAGTTAACTGGTCCGGAAAATAAATATACCGGACCAGTTAACTTGCAAAAATCATTTGACGACCTTACCGATCGAATTTTGAGTTGAAATTTGGTATGGACAAACTAGACTTGATGAGGAATATGCTCAAAAAATTTCATCAAAAAATTCCACCGGGAAGGTGCCCAAACGGGCTCGGCCGGACGGGGCAGCCCGTCAGGCCGGCCTGATGAGATGATTTCTCTATATATATATATATATCCCCTATTTACTTAAAGAGCGGTAGGTAGTTAGTTTCGTTCTTTTTACGTTGCTACAGTGCTCGTCGTTTTAACGCTTCCGTTTACTCCTCCCTATTCGTTGCCCATCCACATAAAGGAACACCAGATGTCTTTCCCGATTCATTGCTCTCATTTTGTTCGATGTATTCAGGCTAGGGTTCACAACTCCTCCTCTCCTCTTGAGTTTGATGTATGTACGTCGCAAGGAAGAAGCCAAATCCTTCGATCTTTTGTCACTAGGTCGCCAGTAGTGGAGTAGCTGCCCTAGCTCTGTCCTGTGTCTCAGCATCGATGAACCATCACGTTCGCCAAATCGCAGATCCAGTCCCGTAGCCTGCCACTCTGCCAATCCTGGCCAAACTGTTCCGCAAATGTGGAACCGGAGTGAAATTTTGTGATGTATATGATGCTGAATCTGTTGGTTGGGGAGTGGTACGCAAATCGTCTCTTCAAAATGCTGCTCGGTTATTCTCTGGCCATTCATTTGAGGTTCTCTTTCTCATTCTCTTAGGGTGTGTTTGGATGAAGGGGTTCAGGGGAAGGTTTTAGATGGTTCAGTTCTATATATAGATGATTGTATAAAAATGGAAAGATCAACACAATTTGTGATCACATAACATTTCCATCAATTTTTCTTTGTTTTAGAGGCATCAGATTTATCAAGATATAGACTATGCCCTCCAAAAACCTTCACCTAACAGACCCTTACAGCACCAAACCAATGGTTTTTGTTCCGTCACTGTCAATCCTTATGGTTAACCAACGGCTTGAATTTTTATTTGACATGTCAGATGTTTCGGTTGACTGTATACTATGCTCAGAAATCAAGAAACTGCACTAATGTTTGGGCCCCATCATGCTATATTTTTGGCCATAAGGACCTGCAGACTTGCCGGCTGTGGGTTAATCGGATCAGAGCTTCTTTACGCTTGCAGGGGGAGCGACCTAAAAGTCTTCTGGTATGGAAATAAGATAACTGAAATTAGATAGCATTTGATTGAAAAAATGGTGTTGTAACTAAGAAGGCACAATTATAAAACCATATAAATGTAGATATTAGTCATTTGGTTTTAAAAAGGAACGTCAGCACCAAACATGCCTACATTCCGAATAATCTATGTCATATATTACCAAATAATCTTTTCTTTTTTACACAATACAACTCAACACTTTATGACATCAAATCCAAAAGTGGCCCAAAATCTTATAATCTCACACACACATCAGATAAAAGTGTATGATTTTTTCCTAGACTTTGATTTTTTGATTGACTAAGTTTTTGTTAATCCACGGAGTGGGAAAAGAAATGGATGTAGAACTTGGGAAACTGTAGCTCCTTTATTTTCACTAGCTGAAGTAATTAAAGACAAAGGTAAAGCTTCAACTCTGATCTGGTCTAATAAATGATCAGACCATATCTTAAAAAGGACCGTTTCAATAAAAACTTCAACTTTTTTTATCAGGTCACTATAACAGAAAGGCGTGGCCAAGCTTTTGATGTAATGGCCTCCATCTCTAGTAGGGATGTTAATTCATATGATGGTGTAGTCGCTGTTGTAAGTGAAAAGACTATATACTCTATAGCTAGGATTTCTTCTTCTGGAAGCAAATCTTCATTGAAACCTAAAGTTTCTTTGTGCAATTCTTCATTCTGAATTGCTCCTATTGCCTCTTACAAAATGTATTGATACAAATTGACTGTATAACCCTTATGCTTTGTTTGGTAGAGAAGAGAATAGTCAGAAAAAATCAGAAAGCTATAGGAGAATAATAGTGGATATTATGTAGGGAAAGTTCCCGAAATAGGACTAAAACAGTTTGAAAATTCCAAAATAGGACTGTCATGTTTGTTATTCCCAAAATAGGAGTAATTACTGCCAAGTTTGGAAAATACTGCCATTTTTGAAGTCTGGTACTGCCAAAACATGGCAGTAATTAGTCCTATTTTGGAAATAAAAACATGTCAGTCCTATTTTGGAATTTCCAAACCTTTTTAGTCCTATTTTGGGTAAATTCTCTATTATGTATGATTATTATTTCGTATGAGAGGAATAAGGGAGAAATAGGAAGGGAGTAAGTGTATTTAATTTTGAAATCATTAAGATGTTAGATGTGAAGGGTTCAAATGGAAAGGTCATGTAGGTCCAACTCATTTGAAGAACAAAAAACTCTTTCTCTTCTATTTCATCGCAGAAGAGGAGAGATAGAAGAACACATATGGGTCTAACTTTCTCCTGCTATCTCTTCTCTATTCTTCCTGAAACAACAGAAGTCATAATAGAAACTTGAAGGCATGTAGTTAATTGCATCTCCAAAATCAAGTCAGGAGTAAAATTGGAAAAAGAATAATTTGAAAAGTGATTTTTGAAATCATCTTAAGCATTGCCTGAACTTCTAGCTTTTTTTCTTTTTTTTTTTCTTATTTTCAATTTTATTTGTTCTTTGTGTTTCTTCTTAAGGATATGTAACAGGTGTTAGCTCATAAATTTCATTTTGATTTTGTGTCCATGTGTGGAAATTTGAGCGCGTTTTACTGTTACTGGCAGTTAAATTTAAAAAGGGTGGTTACTCAAGGATTTTGACGTGCTTTGATTGTTGAGACAGTTGCAGGTAAGACAAGTGGCAAAATCTTATATATCACCGTCACTGTCTTGTAGATGGACTAGATGCCAAAACCCGTATAAGTAGAAAATGGGAGTAGAGGAGTTGAAGAAGGAAGAGAGGAAGAAGACAGAACCATAAGAAGAAGAAGGGTAAGTAGATATCAAAAATTAAAAGAAAAATCGATTCGGTTTAACTATTAATGAAATTTTTTGACGAAGAAAATCATAGTGAGCTTAACTTGTTGACAGTTAGGCAAGATTTTGCATTGCTCTCTATGTATTGCATTTGATACGTTGAGGACCAATGTCATTGAGGACCAATATATAAGCTGGAAATAGATGCAGTCTTTGGGATTTCTTTCTTGAAATGAGAACATGTTAGTTACATCTATTCAATAATGACCTGATCTCCATTTTAGTTCTCAACTATGTCTCTGAAAAGTCTCCTTTATTTGTTGATGCTCTCTTTTTGGACTTTTTGAGCTTCTGATTATGCATATATATATATATATATAACGTTTATTTTTTTCCCAGTGACAGAAGTGTCTAGCGGCAGAGATGCTCTGGACAGAAGGGTTCGACCAGAACACCTCGATGTGGTTTTCTGGTGGCTTCGGACAGAAACCCTCCTAGGGGTGTTATGCTGCCTTCGGACAGAACCCCTCCGTAGGGGTCTTCTGTTGGCCTCAGAACAGAACCCCTGGGCAAACTTTCTTGATACCTGAACTAGCCTTTTCAAACCTTGATTTGGCGTAACAGGACCTGCTAGGCATTATGAAAAAGATTTGTTGAAATGGAGTGTGTTGGATAATGGGACTAAACAACGACAAGTTTTAGATTCTGTTACTAAAGGTTTAATTATGCAATGGATATTGTACTCCTATACCTGCTTCGTTTTTATGTAATGGATATTGAAAACGGATCATACTAGAGGTTTAATTATGTTATCGGGGTATTATATTTATTTGCTAGGGGAAAGGAAAATAAGGGTCAATGGACCTTCAATAATCTTTTTGATTGGATTTTACTGATATTTGATTGGATTTTACTGATATTGATTTTATTTAATTTTTGAATGTGGTTTTTTTTGCTCGAAAGCAAATGAGCCTGGAGAAATCTAGAATTTTTTTTTTGTATATCCTTGTGTTAGATTTTCATTTTGAAGTAACTACAAATGCAATTTTTTTGATTATGTTCCTTACTAATTTGGTCTCTTATTTTCAATTTTTCTATGATCTCTTTGTAAGTTATTGTGACTACCTACCTGGTTCTTAAAAAGTGCATACTTATGTAAGTTTATTTAACCTTTATAATTGCATATTATCTTTTAACTTTATCAGCAACCAACGATTTTAGATTGTGCTTAATCTCTCAAAACCTCATCTCTTTTTATTTAACCTTTATAATTGCATATTATCTTTCAACTTTATCAGCAACCAACGATTTTAGATTGTGCTTAATCTCTCAAAAAAAACATCATCTCTTTTATTACAAGAATTCTTGTTGTTCTTCTCAAAGCTCGGTGACCAAACCTGCTTTATTTCAGTATGGACATCTTCTATATTAACCCTGTCAGTTTCATTATTACACTAGCAGATATTCAGTGCACTTATATATTACATATACAAGTTTGAACTACTTATCTCACACCTATTAGAGTTTTGAGTATTAAATTATTTTCCATTTTTGGCTGCTTAGCTTTGTCATGTATTCACACATTTTTGATTTATGAAATACAATTTTCTTATTTAACCATCATTGGGCACGGACCGTCGCGCATCGCGCGGGCCAATTTTCATATATACACACACACACACTGAGATCCCTTATTTTTACTTGATAAAGATATGCACATGTAAAGTATATTTGTGTTTATATATCTTTAATAAATCCTAATACTATGTATATGTTAATCGCACCTATCATACAAATTCATCCCAATATATTACTTTATACTCAGCTCATACACCGATTGAAGTTATATATTACCACTAAGTTGTGTAGTTCATTATTTTAAACTTACATTTATATTTATACAAAATACTGAATATCAAACGTACACACAAAATAATAATTCTGACAAATTAATGAACATTTAATTAGAGCATACAAAATATACAAATTCATCATCCCCATAATATATATAACGGGGACGGAATAGTACTACTAGTAATAAAAAGTGGGGCGGGAAACGTACTGACCTTATACACGAAATTTTAATGATTTTTGGATCTGAAGCTATTTTTCTTCAGCTCGTTTCTACCTCTTCTGCTTGTTCAACCCTTCCTTACTTAATATATATTTTTAGAACTAATAATGGCTGGCCGTATAGTATATGTGTGATCCTTTGGGATAATTGAGGGCATCTATATATAGTGTGAGATGGTCTTCCTAATTCACATATACGGAGTAGTAGATAGAATTTCTAGGAGACATAATTATTGTCATAACTATTCCTTCAAAGATGATTAGCTTATAGGCTAGATGTCTTGTTTTAGTGTAAAAATATCTTATAAGAATAGACCTTCAATTGGCTGCCCATCCTTGATTAATTGAAGCTATCTGACTATTTTGATTTTTTTTAGATTTGTCTGAATTACTATTTAGATTAGTCCAATAAGTGCATTAATACTTGGGACACGTAATGTTTATCTCTATTATACCTTAAATGTCTCAATAGAAAATTATGCCAAAGAGGAGTGTTGGTCGATCCAACAAGGAGTACATGAAAATGTGAATTACTACGGTTTAGTTTAAATCTATTATTTTACTGTTAGTTTATGATTGACGTGTTTTTTATATTATTATAAAATTATACTTTATAAATTATACGAGGTTGGATAATTGTTTAATTTTATATATGAAAATTTCTTCATATGTATCTTAACTACTAGTTTTGTGACGCGCGTTGCGCGAGTGTAAATGCCCAATATGAAATTGTCATGATAAATGATATCGAATGTTGTTTTATTGTAATTGTGATTTATGAAACTATACACACAAACTAAATGACAGTTACATCCAACTAAATATATGATTGAGTTGTTCATAATTGTTTGTTTTTAACGAAAGTTGTTCATAATTGTTAACAGATTAAAAAGTATAGTCGGCTGCTTTAGTTCTAAGCGCAATATGTGTAAGATGAAAACAAAGCTTTTTAATTGAGAAATTGTCTTTAACTTTTTATCATTGTAGTAACTACATCATAGAATCCATTCTCTAGAGCATCTCCAGCGGTCAGCTAGACACTTTGTAGCTTTGCTTGCCACCTCAGTTTTTTCTAGCTAATCCATTTTCCAGCAATGTGATGGTCCAATGGTTAGCTACAACCCTTGCCTCTTGAATAGGCCCCACAAATCAATCAATATTGAAATATACATTTTGAATGAATTTTATTGTTAATATAATAAAAATAATATTTATTTTTAAATATTTTCAAATCGATCAAGTTGACAAGCAAACATAACCAAACTTCTGGCAGATTGATCAAGTTGGTCATCAACTATGACTTTGACCAAACATTAATCCAACGCCCAACATTAAGCAGACGAGGATGAAAATGCATATTATTAAAATTAGTACAAAAATATGTATTTTGTTAAGTAACAAAATAAGGAATACAAAATTTGCTCGAAAATATTCTATATGAAAAATATCAACTTTAACTTAAGTATTTCATGAAAAAATCATTGGGGGTAGCTCAACTGGTAGCAAGGGAGTGCCACAATGGTTAGGTCTCGGGTTCGAATCCCGGCAACTGCGATGAGGGGTTACTATGCTGAAAAATGCATAGGGCCTCTGCAAGTACCGGGGACAGAGCCTCACTCTCTATCTGTCGTATTGTGATTATAGTCCAATTTACATCCTCCCATCGTGCCGTCCGGTCGGTGTTGGGGGGCCCTCAGGGATGGGGTGTCATCCTTTTTTTTTATGAAAAAATCATTGGGTTGCACTTCTTTAATTAACAGTAATATTGAAACCCTTTTAAACATTACCGTTGCTGACTTTCTCTTTATTTAGATTTGTATATTAATTATAATAAATAAATTAAATATATTTGGGAGTTACCATTTTAGTTCAATTTTCTCTCCTTTCTAGCATTTAGCTTGTTTTGGCTAATTAGCTTGTCCAAGCTAGAAGGTAATATACACTCCAATGGTAGGCTACTAGCTTGAATATTTTAAAAAATTGCAAGCAAGTCCTTGGGAGGAACCATTGGAGATGCTCTAAGCTTACTCTGTTTGGCATATACGTAGTAATAATATTATAATCCATGAGTTAATTTAGAAGATGGAATATAATATTGCGTATTAAAATAAGTAATATTACACTTCCCTTCTCTATTTAGAACTTTCTGGGTGGGGGCTATATAGAGAAGGGAAGTGTAATGTTACTTATTTTAATATGCAGTATTATATTTCATCTTCTAAATTAATCTCATGGATTATGATATTATTATAAGATGAGAAGCGGTTATATTTTAGCAAAACATATAATTTAAAGATAAACTTTATAGACTTATGAAAATGTAGTGGAAAAAGATAAAATGTAAGAAGTAAACCCGTCTCCTGCACGTTGTAGAAGATTAATCCATCTCGCTTCTTTTCGATATTTTCACCCTCTTTTCCTTCTCGCTTTACCTCTAGAATATATTAAATTGATTGAATCGAAAAATGTTTAATTTTATCAAATTCTGAGCAAACTCTCTAAATGTGCCGAATTACAAAAGCATATACTTTAGGAAAGTAATTAGCTACAATAGACTTTTTATTCAAATTTAGCAAAAACGTAACACCAATCTTTCTCTTCTTAATAGCCAATTTAGCGTATGAATTAAAAAACCTCGTATTTCATAAAAAGTTATCGGAGTATTTGATCAGTCTGATAAGACAAAATAGAGACTAATAAACAAGTTCAAAATATTTACATTACTAATATAAAATAAACATGTAACAATTTTGGTAATGATTATTTAGTACTCCCTCCGTCAGTTAAGATAATCTCATCTTTTCTTTCTTGTCATCAAACTACGAATCCGTTTGATAACACTGAAATCGGTTGATTCTGCTGAAATGTATGAAGTTCTGGCTGAATGGTGGTGTTGGCTGATTCTGTTGATAAATGAAAAAATTCTATATCAAATACATTTATTAATAAAATAAAGAAAAAGTTATATGAAAAATAGCTAAAATGATTATCTATAGTAACTTCGAACAATACAGCCAGAAAAGTAACTTCAACCTTACTTTTTCTTATTACTAGTAAACCCACCCGTGCGATGCACGGTTTGAGAATTTTTCTTTCAAATTTATGTGTGTTCAATAATTCAAATCATACTATCAACTCATGACAACATCTACCTTCATGTAATACTGATATACATCAAAACATTATATTAAACGAAACACACTTATATTAATATGGTCAAAATGAGGGTACTAAACATTACTTAAAAGATCAAAAACATTCAACAAAAACGTTGAATCCATAACATTGTAAATATCCATTTAATGTAAACCTGGACATTGTTGAACACTTCTTTGAATACAACATTCTAAGTCCTGTCAGTGATTCCTCCATCTTTATCAACAATTAGAATTTTCAAACCACAATGATTGGTAATCCTTGATACT